ACTGTCCCAGAGTTGTGTGTTAGTGTGAGGTGCTAAATGGTGGCTTGTGCAGAATAACCTTGGTAGCGTGCTGCATTAGTGACATCACAGGCTTTGTGGCGCTGCAATGCCCAACGTCACAACTGCTGCAGCAGAGCTAGGCTGATATGCATCCCCTGGTTCCTTCCTCTCCCTCTCTCCTGTACTGCTCCCCCCCTCTTCGCTCTGTTTCCTGATTGTTTATTGTCCCAGTTTATCTTCTAGTTTCTCTCATTCTTCCTCCTCTTTTTCTTTGTCTCGTCAGTGGTAGCAGCTGTAGCTATGCTGTAAAATCACAGCTTTTCCCTCACAGTGATAGTCATGCTGAAAAGCACTTGTTCAGTTTGAACCTTCTGTGTAATGAGACACAGGCATCACATGCTGCAGCTTTTCCTCACTCTTTTGATCTTGTTTATTTCATTCCCATTCTCAGTCCAGCTCTTTACATCACCTTTTTTGTTTTGTATGTAGTTTCCTGGCTTGGAATCATTTTCCCTTCATCTTCCCTTCATCATCTTTCCTTTCTTTCCATCCAAGACCTTACACTGACCCTGAGCTGCTTAGTGGTTAATCCTCTTGGCTTGGTAGAAGAGGTTAAGAAAATCTCTGTGGCTGCTTTGTCATGCACCACCACATACCTTTTCCTGCATTCCCTTCGTCATCTGAGAGATCACATCTCTTCCAGCAGGCCCCAGACCCACTCACCCCACAACACACCCACACTTACACACACACACACACACCACCCACTTCTTGCCACCTTGATCTCCAAGCTTTGGTGGAGTGGCTTCCTAAGATCCCTTTGACAGGGTACAGTTACAGAGCAATCTGGGATCATGTTTTATGAGAAACCTGTGATATTCTGCAGCCACTGGCCCTGGTTAAACATGCCAGGCGCACGTCCTAGATACCATCAAGCATACACCTGAAACAAAAATACACAACTGCGCTCACAAACATTACCCATCACAACCTGCCTGCTTTGCCAAGCCAGTGTGTCTCCACTCCTGAGCCTGTGGTCAATGTGATGTCCTAAGTGTCAGTGAAATTCTCCAAGGCTTTCAGCACCTATGGCAGCTGTTTGTTTCTCTTCAAAACTAAGTTTCTCTGTGGCAACTAAGTGTAACCGTGTCACTCAGAAATTATCTTCATAACAGAACCCTCGATACCGGCATTATTTGGCCAAGACACCACATGGCATGGCACATTTGTTTGAAATACTAGGAAATAGCCGGGTCCTATCTGACTCAAGGAGTCTATTTGAGTTATAACTGAGGGGAGATAACAAGTGAGCAGACAGTAAAGAGAGGAACATGAATACCCTCTGACCATTGGTGTGTATGTGTTTCACAGTCACCCTGCTGTGAGGATAGACCATAGCACGTCTCACTATAGCAACCCTGCATCTTGTCCACCATGTTGTCCCCCAACTCACATACCTCTCTGCAATCACACAGACACTCTCCTGATGTCTTGGTAGTCTCCTGACAAATGACTCGCCTCTGTGGCTTTCTCTCTGAATGAACACATTATCTAATACCAAACCTTTTAATTAGGAGATTAGCCACACTAGCCTCTGTAATAGATCTCTGCACAATTTATTCCTTGCTTGAATGCAGGATGATCTCCCGTCTGGTCACTCCATTTTATCTTTACTATTAAATTTTATAAACATGGTCTTTGCTGCCTCATAGCATGTAGATTTAGATTTTGACTACTTTACAGGCTAGCAATGAAGTCTGGGACCATGCAAGAGCCTCACCATGTCCAGCCAGCAGCTGAAGGCAATCTTAGTACTTATATTGTAAAAACCCACAGACCCAGTGATTATATGTATAGTATTGTAGTGACAGGGAGGGTAGTGTCAGTGTGGATCTTACTGGTCACTCAGACAGACAGACAGACAGACAGACAGACAATGTGGTAACCACTGACCTTCAGTTCAATTCCCCTTGGCATGTCTGTCAGCATGGCTGTGGTAATGAAAGCTGGAGCATGTAGAGGTTTAGGCTGCAGAATGTCAAACATTTATACCCAGTGTTGTTAAACAGATGATTCAAAACATATTGTTAATCTGAGTATACTACATGATAATGTATTATTAATCTGAAAACCCGACAACGGATGACTGAGGTACAAGGGGACAGATGAGTATTGGTCTCAGATGTCTCCAACGCTGCATCACTGCATCTTTAAGTCTCCATGTTTGCAATCTATCTATTCACTGTAAACCTACCCGCTGTCTGTGGCTCCTATTCCCAGAGTACTGTATATTGAATAACATGCTACAGTATAGTGGTAGTGCCTGTTGGCATTGGTGTTCACTTACTTTTTTTTCATGTTCTCCAATAGAGCCAGGCAGAAGCACATTACAAAGGAAACCGCCACGCCAGGAGAGTCAAAGGCATTGAGACCTCTAAGAGTCGTCCTCAGGAGGGAGACAAGACTCATACTGTGCCCCCCACCTCCTCGCCATCCCCACCTGGAGTCCTTGGCACTGCACCAAATGGTGATCTCAGCAAAGCAGGTGAGAGATAAGAAAATACTCCCTGGAGTAGAAACAAAAACAAAAGCAAAACAAAAAAAAACCTCTGTAATTTTTGCTGTCCGAATAATCAGTTCAATCGATGCAGGATGTTCAGGGACTTATTGTTTGGCTGGAGAAAATGGAAACTATGCAAGAATAACAAAGGCATCTAATCACAGCAGCTCCACAGTGTGTTTTTCTTCTTGTGAGCAACTCTGCTTTTTGTGCCGGCTGATTTGGCTGCAATACAGTAGGTTTTACAGCCAATAACACAATTCCACAAACCTCAGAAAAACATTGCACTGGCATTAAAATATATTACATGGGAAATGTTTTAATTAATGTCAAGATGTTTGTTTCATGAATAGTTGAACAAACCTTTCAGATGCCAGGACTTTAGTTCATTTGCCTTCATTTTGAATTGGCACAAACGATTTTTAATGGTAGCTGCATTTAAACTCAGAATATGAGAAAGTCACTTTAAAAGTGGGACACAGAAAAAGTAATAACTTTCTTTCCATGGCTTAGGACACATCAAATTACATTAAGAAATTAAACTGAGCCTTCACTTCAAAGCAGGGTATTGAAGTGAGTCTGAATGCAGCTAGTGCTGGAAAATGCCTGATGAAAACAGCAGATGATCAGATGACCTAATGGAAGCAGATTCATAGAGAGCTTAAACTAAAAGCAGAGGCATCTGAACAGATTTTCTAATTGCGCTAAGAATTTAAAGCCAAAATTCAAATTGAACAATTGAATATAATAACATGAACACCAGAGGTCTTCAGTCTTGCTGTCTGAGTGACAGGTTGATTAAAGTAGAAGCATCATTACTATCCCACAGACACGCCTCTGTGTTAGTCCAGTCTAACCAAGTGCTGTGTCCCTCCATTTAGACTGTGAGCAGGTGAGTTGGCATCTTTTCAAAAAGCCCACTGTCATGTGCATATGTTCATGTGAAGAGTGTGTGTATATGTTTTTTGCACACTGCTGAGTTGGTTATTGAGAAGTGCAACAACATTTGCCACAGAATCAAAATAGACTATGTTGCCTGAGCCCAGGGTGCTGGTAATGACTGCTAAGACTGACTGAGAAAAATAAAGATGGCACCATGATGTTTGAGAGACCAAAATATGAGTCAGCCTCTGAAAGAACAAAGAGCACAGCTTATCTGACTTTAATGAAAAGCAATTCACTGGTAATTTATTAGTTTTTAAGGATACATGATCAAGGCATTGCAAGCTCTTTATTTAGCACGATGGCTGTATCCTTCTCCCTGCTGTCTCAGTCTTACTTCATCTAGCCCTGTCTGTCTCATCTTCCTATTTCAAGCTATAAGCGCCTCTACCCTTCTCCTTTCTTCACCCAGAATTTTCCATTCCCTCAGTGTCACCACTCTGTCCTTGGATTAAACATGAGGTAAAAAATAGACCGGTCATGTTTTGGTGACATTTACAAAGGTTTCTGTAGCCAACTTTTTATCAGACATTTACACCTTATTGATGGGAGGGCACAGAGCAAACACAATGAATGAAAAGATGAACGACAGGTCCAATAAAGGCCAAAATACAGCAACATGCCACAAGATAGGCTTCAGCATTTTTCTGTTTTTGGCTCTTTTCAAATTCATTTCAATAAAATAAAAATTTTCTTTTAGCTGATCCCATTTTCACCCACGCCTCTTCCCACATGTGTGATCTGAGATATGCCCCAGGCCAGCTGCCATTAGTGAGACTTGTTGGGGCAAACTCTAGAAAACACGAAGAGCAGAAAACAAGCCTGCTGTGATTGAGATCTGAAAGTAGCAACATGTGAAAGAATGTTTTTTTCCATCCAAGCCTGTTTCTCGTGACCCTGGAACCTCTTCTCTTCCTGGCCTGCCTGCATGCTTGCTTTTGATTATGTGTGTGTATTCATGTCCTCTGTGTGATCCTGTCCCACTGCTCCTTGGTAGGGGGGCAGATCTCTTGGAACAGCTGCGCACGGTCTCAAGTGGGACAGCAGTATCTAGAGGACCGAGTACAGACACTGTAGTTTGGGCTTTGGAGCATAACGCATGTCAATCTGGGGCAGTTACTCTGAAACTGACAGGAACAATGCATGTACACACATATACACAAATATACAAACAAAATGATTAGGCCTGTACAAGCACACAGTCAGAAGGATGAGAAGATTTCCTAGAGTGCAAATTCCTTACAACACAGAGCAGCATTCATTGTTGATGTTGCGTGTTTTTTCCAGTGAAGGGTCCTTTTGTTGATTTGGGACTTTACGCATATAACATCTTCACATGCAGATATAATATGTCACATCACACGAGTATGAACCAGAAAATCCCTTAGACAGGGAGGAAACAAACTTTAGAGCTCTTCGGCCGACATGGCAGTAGAGGAAAGCACAGACCGACTGTCATGGATGTGTTTGTGTGTTATACAGAAATAACTGTGATGGCTCACCCAAC